ATTCTTCTTTGCTCTGGACGAGGAGAGACCCATTGTTGCATCTATCACCTGCATGGTTTCTGCCAAGAAATCCAAGCTTAGTCTTATTGGTTGCCTCTTGTAGGTAACTTTTTGTTTTTCCCGTGCTCTCATGATTCTTTCTTTGTCTTTGGTTTTGGTGAGTTTGATGATATGTCTTGGTGATTTTCTTTTGGGGTCTATCCTGTTCATTGGACTTCCTGAATGGATATATTCTCATCTTTCATACCAGGAAAATTCTCTTCCAATGAATCTTTGACAGTTTTCTCTGTCTCTTCCTGTGCTGGAATTCCGATTACAAGTAGATTACCCCTTTTGATGGTATCCCACATGAACCTTAGGCTTTCTTCTTTTTGTTTTGATCTTTTTTTCTAATTGATTCCTTTCCAACGAAATAGTGAGGTATTTATCTTCAATCTCACTAATTCTGTCTCCATTGATTCAATTCTGCTCCTTTGTTCAATGTCTTATCTATTTCTGAAAGTTTAATATTAATCTTCTGGATTTGTGTGTGTAGATTTTGTATCATTTCTATTTTTTCATTTATTTTGTCATTTTGTTCTTGTATTGTCTTTTGAAATTGTAGGGTTTTTCTCTGTTTTCCTTGACCTGTTTCTCAATTCGTTGAAGATCCCTGAATATAATTCTTTTGAATTCCTTGTCAGGGAGTTCCAATGCTGCATCTTCCTCAGGGATGTGTTTTGGGTCTGTATCCTGGTCCCTTGTTTCTCACACTTTGTCTTGCTTCTTTGAGTGGATTGTGATTCTCTGTTGTCTCTGAGGCATTGTGACATTTTTGTGTTTATATTTAATTGGTGTTTGTATGTTGGAGTAACTTGTCCATGATTTTTGTTTTGTTTTGTTTATACATTATCTACATAAGCAGGGTACTGTGCTGTGCTCCTCTATTCACTAGTTGACAACACTTGTACACTCACCACCTGTCTCCTTTCCTTTTGTCATCTTCTCATATGTCTCTGCCGACTTTGGCAAACAGAGCCTATTCTTAGGTCCCTTGAATCCGAATGAGAATGCTATCACTTAAAAATCCAAAATGGCTGCCACCTGTAAGGATTCAAAAAAGGTGCACAGTCACTTTAAATATCCAAAATGGCCACCACTTGTAAACATTCAAACTGGCTGTGCCCTCAGCCACTTTAAATATCCAAAATGGCTGTGGCCTCTGAACAGCAAAGAGTCCATAGTGCAGGTTGTCTCCCTTCTTGCTGTTTCCCTTCCTTGTCATAGGCCACCAGCGCAATCATCTTGGTAGCCCTTGGTGACCAGGGCTGATCTTTAGGTCAATTCTCAGGTCCCAGCACCACTTGGAACTATTCACGCTGTTGGTCCCATCAGAGTAGCTGACAGTCCGCAGCACCAACCTTCTCTGTACTGTTTTCATTGAGGTTTTTCCACTAGTTGGTGCCTAATCCACTTCTGTATAGTTCCTTTCAAAGCTTAGGGCTCCAGGATTATCTTCTGTGTCAATTCGTTTCTCTTTTCTTTGTTGAAGAGGGTTTGTGTCACTTGTTTGCCTAGTCCTTCATCTTAACAGAAGTCCTCCTCTTTTATTTTTTTTTTCCGAACCCCCCCCTTTTTTAAATTATTGTGATTTGGGTGAAAGTCCACAGAGCAAACTTACCATCCACACAGCAGCCCACACACATCTTGTCCCATGGCACTGACTACAATTTACCACAATGCAATAGCTCCCCTCCCACTTCCTCCCGACAGTTACCTCTTCCCTATGTCTATCCCTCCATGCATTCCTGTCCCCTGAGCTGTCTCCCCATGCACAAACAACCTCTCTTTCTCCCATGATTGTTCTCTCCAGGGAGCGTTTTCACCCAATGCAAATGTTCACCCCATATGCCTGTCTTTCATTTGGCTGGAAACTCCAGACCCAAGGGACAGCCAGGGGCCATAGTCCCAGGGGTTCCATCAGGCTCTATCAGGCCAGCAAACCTGGCCCTCCCATTTTATTTCCCCAAATGATTTTGAGTTTTGTTCCACACTGTTCTCCCTCTCTATCCAGGATCTCCTACATAGATCCCACTCCGAGTGGCTGACAGTGGTAGCCAGGCACCACCCAGTTCCTCTGTTCTCGTATAGGCTGAGGATCACATGGTGTACCAGTTGCTTGGACTAATTGCTTCCATGAATCCTTGGTTTTCTTCATTCTTCTTTGCTCTGGATGAGGAGAGACCCATCATTGCATCTAGATGGCTGCTTGCAAGCTTTTAAGATCCCAGTTGCTACTCACCAAAGTAGGATGTGGAACAATGTTTTGTGTAGTATGCCAAGCCAATTGAGCTTGATGTCCCCTGCAGCTATGGTCCTGAGCCCACAGGTCCAACTACTCGCTCCTTTTGGGTAGCTGGCTGTGCCCAAGAAGTGATCACAACCTTGACCTTTGTCGGCTCTACTATACACCTGGGAATTCTTATAGAACATACAAATACACTTGTAGAACCACTGTCTGCCAACTCTATACATGGTCTTGGGAACATTCCCCCCTGCATAGACATACCAAATAGTTCAGCTTGTCCACCCATGTTTGCCCTCACTGACAACACAGCACTGTATATGCAAAAGGGTTCATCCTTGCTGTCTGTACCTCCCATGTACTCTGTCTTCCTTTTCCTCAATGCTACCATGCTGATCACTCACATTTGGTACATTCCCCTTCTCCCCACCCAAACCAATACCTATCTCTACCTATCCAACAGTGTTCCCTCCCTTCCCCTCCCACCCTTGGTAACCAACACTAATGATAGTAAGCATTTCTTCATATGTTTGTTGGCCACCTGAATATCCTCTTTGGTGAAGTACCTATTCATGTCTTCTGTTGGGCAACTTTCTTTATTTCTCCTCTGCCTCACTTCCCATATCCCATCTATTACAGTATTCACCTCACATTTCGTGTTAGTATAGCATTTTGCTAAGTATTAGGATTTACTTTTCTAGTCTTGTGAGGAAATAAATTTATTCTATTGATGCTGCCATTACTGTATTTTGGGGACTCCTTTAAGAAATTCTTTCAGTTCCTTTAGAATGAGTCTCAACTTACTTTTTTTCTATAAGATTTTAAATTATAAAGTACCAAATCTAAAAATACCAAATTAAGAATGAGGATCATGACATTGGAAAACGATTGTGCTACACGTTCTAAAGATGGCATCAGGAGTTTTAACTTCCAAAGGTGGTTTACAGTTTGGAAACTTTATGGGGCAGTGCTACTCTGTCCTATAGGCTTGCTCTGAGTCAGAATTAACTAGGTGGCAGTGGGTTAAGGTGGTCTAAAAGGAATAATCCTTTTTTAGATATTTAAGTTTTGGCATGTTGTTTTAAAATAGTTTTCTTTGGTTTGTACTTAATGTAACATGCATGAATTACAAAATTTTAAAAATCATACTAATCTAAGGTACACTAAAAGAAAACTATTTTGAGGGCAATTTAACATTTTTTTGGGGGTATAATTCAGAAGTCTGTGTTTGAATTCTTTTTCAGTATCACTGTAGTCTTCTAGATTATAGGTGTAGAATACCAAAAAAACCCAAACCCAAACTCACTGCCATCAAGTCAATTCTGACTCATAGTGACACCCACTGGGTTTCTGAGGGGGGAAATCTTTACAGAAGTAGATTGCCCCATCTTTCTTCCACAGAGCAGCTGGTGGGTTTGAACTGCTAGCCTTCTGGTTAGCAGTCAAGTGTCTTAGGCACTAAATCACCAGAGCTCCTTAGATGTAGAACAGGCTTTAGAAATTGGACTGAGTATACACTAAACCTGTTTCACACCCCTAAAGGTTTCTGAAAACTCCAGTTACCTGTGTGTGTGTTTTTTTCTCTTATGCTTTCTTGTTATTAAATGCTGTACAATATTCAGTTTGTGATTTTTTCATTGTTTAAATTTCAGAATAAGTGGGGATTTACCATACTTGGGTTCTCCTAAATTGAGAAATCAGAAAGTAATATGAAAATCACTTTTCAGTGTGGGTAAAACCATTATAAATTTCCTATGTCAATCAAAACTTTTAATGTTTGAAAGCTATCTATTTAAAGTAAATCAATAAAGTAGAAAAGCAGAATATAGTGAAAACTGTCTTTGTTGCCTTTTATTACTTGAACTTAGGGTAAAAAAAAAAAAAAAAGGAAAAAAAAAGCCTTTATTAACTAATGGTTACTGAAAAGCCAAACCTTTCCAGCCCACTTCATATTCTCTTTCAACCATTTCAGGGCAGAACAATGTTCCAAACTATAAACCTGTTCCTTATTAACATTGACAGTCATGTGCTTAATGAAAAGCTTTGGATCCGATATACGAGCAGCTGTGATTAACCTGTCCACCGCAGCTTGATAATCGTCCTTAGTCTGTGGTTTGTTTTTTTCACATCTACAAAGTAAACACTTCATAAAGTCAGAAACTCTGAACAGAAGCTACGTAGTTTCTTCCGAAGATAGTCATTTACATTTCTTGACAACTAAGGTATGGCAGTCTATATATACACCATGTTCTTCTAACAGTGGCTTTCAAACTTTTCTGACTGTGACCCACATGAGAAATGCATTTCATATTGTGACCCATATTTACCTTCATATATAAAAAGACAAAAGACACAAAAGACAAAAAGCCAAAACAGGACTTACTTACATTGAAGCACTCTACTTTCCACTCATTTTCATTTTTAATAAGGATGGTTGCAACCCCCTAAATTGATTTCATCACAAATAAATGAGCCACAACTGCAGTTGAAAACACTGATTTAGGGCACAGGTAATGGCCTGTATCTTTAAATTTAATAACTGTATAATTATTCATTACACTGAAAAAAGAATACTAAATTTAATTATGTTTGGAATAACTACCATTCACAGGCTTTACCTTTATTTTGGCAATTTTAATTATAAGCAAATAAAATGGAGGTAATATTGAGTAACAGAAATTATATAGCTAAATGCCTTTATAAAATTTCACATTATACTCCTGAGTCATGATATAAAGTACTGCACTAACTGCTAGAACTTATGTTTCTTGTAACTTTTCCATCAGTTCCATCTGCCTTCAATAGTGACTCCATTTACTTGCCTAAAATCCATACCTTATGGCAGTTTTTTCTCTAGAGTGGAGAGTGGGGAGTAGCAATTTTGCTGTTATATAAGGCACCACTTTATTTTCACTGCTTTCTGCCTTTGGTACCTATAGGGCTTGACCATGGTGAGGTCCACAGAGTAGCGGGAGTGAGGGCTTGCACTTGAAACAGGAACTAGTGGTCACAGAGAGGAAACAAAGTGACCAGGAACCTCCTAGTATGTTCTAGCTTAGAAAGAGGTACCCTGGAATCTAGTAGATTGGACACATGCTAACTCTGTGCATTTTTCCAAAGTAATGATGAATAAAAAACCTGTCTCAAAGAGGCTACATTAGGTGCTGATAAGATGGCGGAATAGGCAGAAAGACTGCACAGACACTCTTCAACACAGAAAAGGGGAACCAATTAACACAAATACAGAAGATAATCCTGGACCCCTGAGCTTGGAAGAAAAGGATATAGAAGTGGACTAAACTCCAACTAGCAGAAGAATTTGCATGAACACACCAAAAAAGGAGACATATGGAGCTGCGGTCTGGCAGCAATCCAGACAGCACAGACAGCTTGGATATTACTGAGTGGTGGTAGGAGCTAAGAATTAACCTAAAAATCAGCCATGCTAGCCAGGAACTGCATGGAGGACTGCTCTGGTAGCTGGGGAATAAAAGGGAAAGCATCGAAGAAGGAGGCAGGCTGAGCTGTGGACTTTTGCTTGTCTGGAGGGTGCAGCCATTTTGAATGTTTACAAGTGGATTGACCATTTTGGATATTTAAAGCAACAGCGTTCTCCCTGATTCCAGGGACTTCAGAACAGGCTCTACTTGCTGGGAACGCAAGGGCATTCCAGACGCATGGGCTACTGGAAAGATGCAGCATTCTCCTGTTACTCTTATATCTCACAACCTCTTGGTGAACAGAAGTGCAGCCATCCCTCACTCCCACCCACCTTCTAGGCTGCCAGGAATTGCATCCTAGTCTGTGTGCTTCGATGGAGCCTGGGTGCCCTGCCCCACCCAGTCCAAATTTTGTCTGTTTTAAAACTACTACTATTATTATTACTTTTATCCTTTTTATTACCATTCTTTATTCTTCCCTTCTCAGGTTGTAGTTTTCAGCTTTTCTTCTTTTCCCTCATCCTGGTTCCATTTTTTTTTTTTTTTTTTTTTTCTTGTGGTTAACCCCATTCCTTGTTTTTCTTTTGGGTTTTTCCCATTTTTCCTCTATTATTCTCCTTCTCTACCTTTTTTCTCTTATTGCCCTCTCCCCAGATATTGTGGTGTTTTTTGTTTTGGTTGTTTTTTTTTTCCCCTTTTCTCTTTTTTGGTTACTGTTCCTGTGTGATTACACTGTGTGTTCTTTCTCCATTTGCTTTTACTTTTTTGATGGTTATTCAATTGTTATTTTTGTCTAATTGAGTGGTAGACAACAACCATCCCCATACAACACTACACCCACACCTCCTGCAGCTTAACTTACTGAATGAGAGTCACCACCTCCTTCTCCACCAGTGGGCCTACTATAAACAACCACCAAGAAGACCCTGACTCACCCTTAGCTACTCTTCACAAACAGTTAACAGAGATCTAAATACAACAATGTCACAATGTCTCAGAGACAACAGACCATCACTGTCCACAAAAAGAAGCAAGATAAAGTGGTAGAAACAAGGAAGCAGGATACAGATCCAGAACACATCCCTGAGAAAGAAGCAGCTTTGGAACTCTCTGATAAGGAATTCAAAAGAATTATATTTAGGTATCTTCAAAAGATTGAGAGATAGACTAAGGAAAACACAGACAAAACCCTAGAAGAATTTTGGAAGAAAATACAAGAACAAAATGACAAAATAAATGAACAATTAGAAATGATTCTAAACCTACAGATAGAAATACAGAAGATTAATACTAAGTTGTCAGAAATAGATAACACATTGAAAAGGCAAAGGAACAGAACTGATGGAATGGAAGATGGAATTAATGAGACTGAAGACAAAATACCTGAACACTCTTGGGAAAGGGATCAATCAGAAAGAAGAACAAAATAAAATGAAGAAAGCCTAAGGATCATGTGGGATACCATCAAAATCAATAACCTATGTGTCATTGGAATTCCAGAACAGGAAGAGAATAATAAAAGCACTGAGAAAATAGTCCAAGATTTGGTGGAGGAGAACTTCCCTGATATGATGAAAGATGAAAATATATCCATTCAGGAAGTCCAGTGAACCCCAAACAGGATAGACCCCAAAAGAAAATCACCAAGACATATCTTCATCAAATTCATCAAAACTAAAGACAAAGACAGAATCCTAAAAGCACCACAGGAAAAACAAAACATTACTAACAAAGGACAACCGGTAAGAATAAGCTCTGATTTCTCAGCAGAAACCATGCAAGCGAGAAGGCAATGGAATGGTATATATAAAACCCTGAAAGAAAAAAATTTTCAACCAAGAATTATATACTCAGCAAAACTGTCCCTCAAATATGGTGGTGAAATTAGGAGATTTCCAGATAAGCAGAAGCTAAGGGAATTTTTTAAAAACAGACCAAACTTACAAGAGATACTAAAGGGAGTCCTTTGAACAGAGAACCAAAAATAGCAAACAACAACCGACCATTAATACACAAGATGACATAACCCAGAAACCACAGCTATGGATATATCCAAAGTAAAATAAGCTTACAAGATTGTAAACAGGGAACCAGAGACTTCCATCAACAAATGAGGACAACTACAAACCAAAAAGAAGGAAAATACTGTGTAGTTACAGAGCTTCTAAATTGTGAGGAAGTCAAGAGAGTTGGAAGCTAGAACAGACTATTCCAAACTCAGGGAGAAAATTATAAATCACAGAGTCAACTCAAAGAAAAGTGATAAACCTTGACATCACAATAAAAAAGAGAACAAACACAAATATTCAGCAAATACTAAAACAACAGCAACAAAGGAAATGATAACACGATTCATAAACATAATGAGCTCAGCACAGAAAATAATGTGTAACAAAGAATCCAGGGACACCATGAAAAAGCACATAACAAAATGACAGCAATCAATTTATACTTATCAATAATTACAATGAATGTTAACGCATTAAATGTACCATTCAAGAGACGGAGAGTTGAAGACTGGATGAGAAAACAAAACCCATCAATATGCTGTCTGCAAAAGACACACCTTAGAGACAAAAACAAAAATAGACTAAAAATCAAAGGCTGGAAAAAGTTATATGAAGCAAAGGGCAACTGTAAAACAGCAGGAGTGGCAATATTAATTTCTGATCAAATTTACTTTAAGACAAAAACCACCATACGAGGTAAGGAAGGACATTATATAATGATTAAAGGATCAATTGAGCAAAAAGATATAATCATAATAAATATCTATGGACCCGATGAAAGAGCCCCAAAATATTTAAATCAGACTTTAAAAGAGTTGAAAAAGTCAACAGATGACTCCACAGTCATAGTAGGAGACTTTAATACACCACTTTCTTTGAAAGACAGAACAACTGGAAAGAAACTCAACAAAGATGCAGAAGAGCTAAACAATA